ATGGCCAGGAAATAGGTCAATTAATCCACTGGAGAAAGCCCCATTTGGACCCCAGGCACTCTGTTATAGATGCAATAATCCTGGAGAAAGTCCAAGTCTGACACCTTGCTCTGGAGAATCTCCAGTGCCTGGAAAATCTCCAGCAGTTGCTGGGAATACCCAGGTGGTCAACACCTATTAGGTGGATACATTTATAAGAATATATGAACCTTATAGGTCCCCTGGGGGGGTGACTGAAGTAGGAGAAACCCCCATGATGACCTGGGAACAGGCCCATTTTGGCTGGGGAAATCCCAGGATGCCCAGGGGGCAGGTACATTTGGGCTGGGGAAATCCCAGGATGCCCAGGGAGCAGGTACATTTGGGCTGGGGAAACCCCCAGGATGCCCAGGGAACAGGTCCATTTGGGCTGGAGAAACCCCCATGATGGCTGGAGAACAGGTCCATTTACACTGGGGAAACCTCCATGATGACCTGGGAACAGGTCCATTTAGGTTGGAGAGTCCCCCATGATGCCCAGAGAACAGGTCCATTTACACTGGGGACACCCCCAAAAATAGGTCTATTAACCCACTGGGGAAAGCCTCATTTGGACCCTAGGCACTCTGTTATAGATGTGATAATCCTGGGGAGACCCCATTTCTGAAACCTTGCTCTGGGGAATCTCCCACAGTGGCTGGGAAAACCCAGGTGGTCAACACCTATTAGGTGGATACATCTATAAGAATATATGAACCTAATAGGTCCCCTGGGGGGGTGACCAAAGCAGAATGTTCCCTCTTGAGATTCAACTCTCCCTTAAGTTTGGAAGTATGAGGTTCAACACCTCTTCTTCCATATAAAATTCTGAGGTTTCACCCTCAATTGTTGAGAATTGCAAGGCCCAAGCCTCATGTATGTTTTCTTGTTTTCTCTTTCTCTTTTGTTCCCATTTTTTTCCTTTTTTCTTTTCTTTCCAAGCTTACTTCTGCTCTACTGGGGAGGGTGTTAGGGGTCCACCCTAAAAAACAGTGTCTGTTATTACCAGTATGTGATACCTTAGTATCACATGCTCTGCTCATATATAAAATATGTCTTGGAATCTCATGTAAATAACTTTTCTTTTCTATGTCTTACTATGCAAATACCAGATGGTTCACTTCATGTGTGTGAGCTTGAGAAGAAAATAATCTCAAATCTTTACATCCAGCTTATCCTCCTTGCAAGTATGCTCAGACTGTGTGTCCTCTTGGACATTGACTGTGAATAGTCACATCTTTGCTGCACTTTTGAATTTATCCTTTTGAGGAAGGGGGCAATCAGGAGCCATGTGGCCCTCCCTGTTGCAATTGAAGCAAATGATACCTGCTAGGAACCTCTGGGGTTGTTTCCACTTACCATCCAAGTGATCCTGTTCTCATTGACAAGATTGATGGTCCACACCATCCTTCCTCAGGAATCTGTTGCTCCTCATTGAAAGATTTAACTTTCCTCAATAAATGGTATCCCCTTTCTTTATGTATTTAAAGTTTTCATTAGATGAAGAGTGTTGATCACTCCTCTTGCTGTGTGGGTGTGAACCACTTCATCCCTGGGAGATTTCCCCCCAAACCCACATGGCTCATTCTCATATGCATGCTTATGGTCTTCTGCATCATTTCCATGCAGCATACCTCTTCAAGAATCTCCTTGATTTTTGAGTGCTCAGCTGATATTCTGCAAGCATCAAAGATACTCTTAATTATTGAGTGTAGTAGCCCCTGCAAGAATTTCCTCCTGAACAAGTAGTCATCTTGGGGTTGGAGCATTCAGTGCACACAATGCTTTATGTATGCAAGGCTCAGAAAATATTGTAAATAAGTTTTACCTGTGTGTCTTACAAGAATGTGAATGCCATATATGTAGTACACTTCACACATGTAAACTTGAGATAACACACCACAACCTTACACTAGGTGTGTTGCAGTGGAGATTGGATATTGAACATGCCATACAAATTGATGATAAGCAATAGTCCCATACCCCAACATGCTACTCTTATTTGTGACCATGCATAGACTTTATTGGCCTTCTGGCTTTATCAATAGTGGCTTTGCTGAAAACATCTCAGAATAATAACTCCATAAATGGTGAAAATATCCACTTGCAACAGTATACACATGGACATTCTGAGATTCAGTGGTTAATACCACTGGACACATTTGTCAGAAATGTGACATTGTGGTGGCAGTTTGGATGTGTATGGGACCTTGGAGATTGTCATATAAATTGCCATATTCCAGCAATGTATATGGGGTTATACAAAGGCAGCATGAATTCCCAACTTCTGATGGCAAGAAATCAGGTCTCAAATTTGAAGGTTGCATAGGACTATATGAGGGGACATGAATGTACACAATAACAAGCAGATTCCAAATTTCACAGGATTCTCCAAAGCAATAGGAGATTTCAAAAAAGACACTGATAGGCATTGAGATACTGTAAGTCAAATCATCATACTGGCTAGCAGGTGGAAACCAAGGGACTTACCAAGAACAGTGAAATGCATAAGAGCTGAAATTGTCTTTTTCATTTCAGGAATTTCTTTGCTGTAGACAGTATAAATAGGACTTCCATCATTGTGGTAAAGAATACATCTTACACATCTGGTTTTCCTGTGCTATGCCCACAAGAATGGGGCATAAATCATCCACACTGTCACCATGCTGCTGGAAGGCTGCTGCAATGTGTGCAATAACAACACTTTGGACACCTGATTTCTGATATTTTCTGACAATCTCTGTCGGAGCCTGCTGCAAATCCTTCCTGGAATTAGCCCCATCCTTGACCTGCAACTGGAAAAATAGGCATTCAAAGACAATTACACAACCTGTAATTATGAGCTTCAGATTCAAGCAGCACCAAAAGAGATAATTTACTGATGCCATGTTCTGCAAGTGCCATTAGGGAAGGCTGACTTGACAAAGACAATATAGGGATGGAGATGGAATGGCTGTCATGTCTGATGAATTGCTATGACATTCAACACATCATAGACAGCTAGGGGGGGAAAGGGAATTGGAACATACCACCTGAAAAGACATCAAGAGTAAAAGAGGAACCAATGTTAAAGTAGGAAAAAGAGTGACAAACCAACTGTAAAACATATGGGCAATGATTGAGTGTGGGATGTGGAACAAAACCATACATTCTGGAAATGGGTTAAAATTTGTCAGGATTTTAGAAGAGTTATGACAACTAACATGCTGAGAGAGATGCAAGAGAAGAAATAAGCAAAAGGCATACTCCATGGGAAGATTGTACTGACATCCTAACACAATGCCTCAGCAAAATTATAGAGATACATGCACTGATCAGGCTCACCATCTATTTGATGAGAAGACCTTGTTAAAAGCACACCAAATGGGCAATTTCCATGACACTCACTCTCTAAGACCCATAGGCCAAAAGTGAAATAGTGAGGATTGTGAAAATATATTGTCCTCTAGCAGATGCTGAGACAACATCACTCACATCCTATGAATGCAAATGCAGTGGGGTAGGAGAGAAAATCACATTCAGCAACCATACAGGGCCACCACATTTCATCTGTCCACTCACATACTATGAACACCAGTCCAACAGGGTGAGAGTGAACATGTCAGCATGCATCCACCACCATCTGCCATGACTCCACTCACAAACTATGAACCCCAGTCCAACAGGGTGGGAGTGAACATGTCAGCATGCATCCACCACCATCTGCCATGACTCCACTCACTCCCTATGAACCCCAGTCCAACAGGGTGGGAGTGAACATGTCAGCATGCATCCACCACCATCTGCCATGACTCCACTCACAAACTATGAACCCCAGTTCAACAGGGTGAGAGTGAACATGTCAGCATGCATCCACCACCATCTGCCATGACTCCACTCACTCCCTATGAACCCCAGTCCAACAGGGTGGGAGTGAACATGTCAACATGCATCCACCACCATCTGCCATGACTCCACTCACGCCCTATGAACCCCAGTCCAACAGGGTGGGAGTGAACATGTCAGCATGCATCCACCACCATCTGCCATGACTCCACTCACATGCTATGAACCCCAGTCCAACAGGGTGGGAGTGAAAATGTCAACGTGCATCCACCACCATCTGCCATGACTCCACTCACATGCTATGAACCCCAGTCCAACAGGGTGGGAGTGAACATGTCAGCATGCATCCACCACCACCTGCCATGACTCCACTCACAAACTATGAACCCCAGTTCAACAGGGTGGGAGTGAACATGTCAGCATGCATCCACCACCATCTGCCATGACTCCACTCACATACTGTGAACCCCAGTCCAACAGGGTGGGAGTGAACATGTCAGCATGCATTCACCACCATCTGCCATGACTCCACTCACTCCCTATGAACCCCAGTCCAACAGGGTGGGAGTGAACATGTCAGCATGCATTCACCACCATCTGCCATGACTCCACTCACTCCCTATGAACCCCAGTCCAACAGGGTGGGAGTGAACATGTCAGCATGCATCCACCACCATCTGCCATGACTCCACTCACAAACTATGAACCCCAGTCCAACAGGGTGGGAGTGAACATGTCAGCATGCATCCACCACCATCTGCCATGACTCCACTCACATCCTAGGAACCCCAGTCCAACAGGGTGAGAGTGATCATGTTAGCATGCATCCACCACCATCTGCCATGACTCCACTCACATCCTAGGAACCCCAGTCCAACAGGGTGGGAGTGAACATGTCAGCATGCATCCACCACCATCTGCCATGACTCCACTCACTCCCTATGAACCCCAGTCCAACAGGGTGGGAGTGAACATGTCAGTATGCATCCACAACCATTGCCCCTCATTCACCCAAAACACTGGTTGCTTACAAATGGGAACCATACTCCAAGGTCATATGCTAACTCCTCCAAGTCAATATGATCAGCCCCCTTTTTCATGTTTCTCTTCAATGTCCTTCCTGTAGTTAGCACCCTGCAGAACTTGATTTTTACCACTCACTTCATTATGGCAAATTCCATGCAGAGTCCCAAGTTTGATTGCTGTGATGATATAAGCAGTCCTTGCAGCCCTTCCCCAGTCAAAGCATTTGCTGTGCATTTCAATAGCTCTTCACAGTCTGCACTCTCCTGTTCCATGCCTGAAGAGACACATGCCAATCCACAGTTTTTTTATTCATGACTTACTTACCAGTGAGTATCAGGTAGCTTTGAGGTGGAAACTTCAGTTCATTCAGCCACCCCTTGATCTTTTCAAGACAGCCCCTTTGCAGCTGTTTTTCTACCTCTGGTGCCTCTTTCATTGCATCATCTAGAGTTAACCCCCTTCTCATAAGCTGCTGCACTGCATCAAGATTTAAGGTGTCTGCCTTTGTTAGTAGCACAATCACAGGAACTGTGCAAATCCTCAATCTTTGTATGAAGTGTGATGTGATATTTGTGTACACATACCATGTCCTGAATCACACTCACTAAAAAACTTCCTTTCAGCAGCCATGACCATCCTATGGCTTTCATTCAAAGGAATGCAATACCTAAATCAATCACAAAGACCAGATCAGTGGAATCCCAATGCCACTAGTCAGACATGTCCCTACCAAATTGCATGCAGTCTCTTCTCCAATTTGGTGGACTTTGCTTGATCTGTAACAAATTTCTTCATCTTATCAAACTCTACCTCACTCCCCGCCTCAAATCCACATGAGTCGTGGAACACATAGCGCGGGTTACTTTTGAACACCAGCTCATCTTCAATGTTATGGTAACCACGCTGCATAAGTTCAAAAGTGAGCACCATGTAATTTCACATGGTGGCCTTACCCCCAATGAACCCTGCACCGCCCTAGTAGCAACCTAGCGGAATGACATGTTGACAAATACACAGCACAAAACACACCCACATACCTTCTCTCCGTTTCCATCAAAGATCTCAGGGTGATCCGTAGTGTTACAGACCCGCTGTAAAACAGTTGTTTTACCTGCATTTGCTCTGCCCATGACAAGAATGCGAAAACGAGGGATGTGAATCAATCTGCCTTTTGGCCTCAGTAGGATCTAAGCGATAGTTTGAAGCCGGTGTAGGGTCGACTGCATGCGGGGCAACATGAAGGAGTGGCCTCAGTGGGAATGGGAACTAGTAACACACCAGCATTGTCACTCGGACGTTGAGAACACCGCAGCGAATGCCACCAGGAACTAACAGAGCTCGGCACCATGGCGATGTGAAGATGAGAAAACAGGTCTTAGGATGTCTTGAGCAGTAAGCGTGCTATGACTGTAGTGGACGATGGTGAAGCACGAAGGGCAAGGATTCGAGTGGCGTTGAACGCTCAACATGCCTATCTCTAGTGCACAGCCTGACACGTGTGTAAACTATGACCACCAACATCAGTAAATTCAGCCAAATTACAGCATGCACATTAGACAGTTTTTGAATGCTCGGCAAACACTGGCAAACATTAAGCGCTTGAAAACCCAGGTTTTTGAACACTTAGCTTTACTGATGAAGTTCCTGTTGGGCCGTCCCATTTCTTCTCGTCGTCTGACCGAGTCCCGGTGATGCATTGGCGCAGCAAAGACTCGACCATCAGTCCTTCCTTGCTATCTTCGATTGCTCATAGCAATGCCAGGGGGGCTCGTCTCATACTCTTCGCGGTACCAAGCCAGCTCGGTAGGCACAATAGTTATGCTCCTGGTGAAATGTACTACCGATCTTCTCAGCGGCTTTGTGCTTCCGTGCTCGCCATCCTTCACACTAGACACTATAGCACAGTTGGGTTTCCCCAGGCTCCTCCCTCGAGGATCTGGTTTCCAAAAACATTCTTCCACAATACTCGGTCGTGCAGTTGGGAAATCCACAAGTAACATGTCTCTTTGCAAACCCACCCGAGTATTAGCACGAGGGTATAAATGATCATTGACCTGACCAAGACGCCCGCACAATGACAGGGTCAAGATCTAAACCACGCACCGACATGCTACGACTACAACCGTTGGTGGTGTCAACAACGACCATCATTGAGCATTCCAACTCTATTGTCACTCCCTCACAATACAGGACACAAGTTCCGTTTCCAAAATGCATCATTACTGAGTGCTGCGTTCTGGCCACTGCCTTGTCCTCCCCCTACCTCCACCCAGTTGAGATCCTATCCTTCACACTGTGGGTGACTCCAGCTGATAGCCATGGAAGTGGCAGACCCTCTGGTATAAAATTTGCATGATAATCTAATGGAAAACCTATCAATCTCCATGCCATAGTCATTCATATGCCACTACGCAGTCTTCCAGCTAAACATTAATAGAATAACTTTTAGAGCATCTGTCTCGGTGCTCCTTCCATTGATGGACAGTTTTGTTGCTCTCTGGGAGGCGAAGACAGTCCTAAGGCCACAGATATATATCACATTACCCCTTCCCCACATACTCGTACTCCCTCCAGAGCGACTTCATGAGAGTCTTACCATCAGAATCCAGTGCAGGGGCCATCAGAGCATATCGGTCGTACTCACCGAGTCTTGCATATAATGAGAATTGCGAGTCGTCCATAGAGTCGATGTATGCCAAGAGGACGTGTCCTACATGCCTTGCGAAAGGCTTTGCCAGAGACTCAGCTGTTGGTGTTTCGGCGGCAATCGCACTGTGCTGTGCTGTATGCACATGCAGAACAGTTTTGACAGTGAGTGGGTGAGAACTGGACTAAGAGCACGGCTTTCGGCAATACCGAGCGGCTGAGATGGTGAAATCCAAGATGGAGGTGTTCCTGTGACGAGTTTACTCTGCTTAGCTCCTAGCTGGAGACGCATGTGCCTGGTTATCAGCATGAACAAGCTTAAAGTCAAAGAGCAGGATACCCTCAATCCAGTGATTGATGGTCACATTAGGCTGAAGATCTGGATCATTGAGCATACCTTTGATGTACTTCACATCAACCTCTACCCATAGGTGATGAATGCCATAGAGATATAGATGATAGTGATGAAGCGCTCTGAAAAGACCATAGAGTTCAAGCTTAGGCTGACTGTAGTGAGATTCATGTTCATTGATGGGAAGCGACCCATAGCGAGCAGGATGTTTGTGACCTTCATTGTCATACTGCACCAGAATGAACCCAATGGCAACATTACTGGTATCAACAGAGAGAACAACTGGTAGGTCAGATGAGTAGTTGATGGGGCAAAGGGCAGGAGCAGATGAGACGGCAAGTTTCAAGGCATCAAATGCATCTTGCTGGGCCTGACCCCAGATGAACAGAGCATTCTTGCAATAGAGATCAACGAGTGGGCGATCCAACTGTGAATAGTTCACAATCCAGATGTGAACAGTACCACAGAGACCTAGGAATGAGTGAACATCCTTGGGAGTGGCAAGCACCAGCCAGTTGATGACCTTCTTCACCTTATTGTCATCAGGAGAGTGACAATGAGGATGACATGCTTGGCCAAGAATGGCAACACAAGACTGGCAGATATGAGATTTCGTGCCAGAGAATGTTCCACCAGCATGAGCGAACCAATGCATTACCCTATGGACATCTACAACATGTTCCTGAATGAAGTGATGGATGCTGGGATTCTTGGGTAATGTTTCAGCATTGCCATCAGCATCTTCATAATGAGTTGCAGGACCCTTGATGGGCAGGTCATCGATGAAAACATTTGCAATGTGAGGGATCTCGTCTTGTAAGATGAATGCTGTACAACTCTGGAACTCTGACATTGAGTTTGTGTAGCCTTGAGGCATGGCAATGTGGCACAGTAAGCCAAGTGGCATCATGAAGGATGTCAGATCTTGGCTATCAGGGTGGAGTTGGCATGCATCAAAACCTGAAAATAGATCAAAGATGGTGTAGCATTGTCAACTGGCAAATGGCCCCACAAAGTCATCCAATATTGGTGGAACACTGGCATCTTGAATGGTAACCTTATTTAGAGGCTGTAGATCATGAATGATATGGATCTTTCCATTCTTCTTCATAACAAAAAACCACTTGGAGCAATAGGATAACTGGGCCAGTTGGTAGAGTTCAGCAGTGATCTTTTCCTGAAGAAGCTGTATGACACATTCTCTTATGCCAGGGGGAATTGGAATGTTATGGAACTCCAATGGTTCATGTGGTAGGACAGGAATGATGTAAGGTGAAAAGTAGTCAGAGCAGAAGTTTCCTCTCTCTGATTCATCAAATGCCAGGGCATGTTCATTTAGCTTCATCACATGTGAAAAAAGTTTTTCCTCTTCTGGCCAGAGAAAGCCATCAGCATTAACCTTCATGGAAGCCAGGCACTCTTGAGTAAGCTTCCTTGTGGGAATGAACATCGGAGGGTGACAAGTAAGCGGTGTGAGTGATGCCAGGGGGTCTTCTGGAAACTGACAATGGACACGAGCATCTTCCAGGTAGACTCCTGGCACCAGTTTGACCTTACAGTCAATGCACTTGTATGCTCCATAAACTGACTGGTTTACTTCGCAGTCTAAGATGTCTGTATCTGTTACAAGTTTTCGCCTAAAGTGTAGTAAATCAAGAAAATCAGATAAGGAATAGAAAAAGTGCAGCTGTTTTTTGGTTTTCTGAATAGGAAGTGGACCTGGTGTTTTTGAAAGATTAGATATCAAAGAAGAGGGAGAATTGAGATAAAAAAAGCTTTGGAACTTTGAAACTGAGGGAAGCATAGTAAGTGGTGTTACAGGAGAATAAAAGCGAAGAGATCTTTGTGAATTTAGGAGTTTAACAACTTCTCAGTCAAAGTGAGCAACCAAAGAGTCAGTAATACTATAAGTACAAGAAGAAATGCACAAATCAATCACAAAAGATCTGAAGAAATAAATCATGGGTGGTAGGAGTAAGTGGACAGATACATTTGTTGGGATTGCAAGGTATCTCTGGTTCTTCTGAGCCACAAACATCCTGGATGGCAACATACTCCTGGCCTGAAGTCAAACCTGGAGAACTGGAGGTAGGAAAGTGATCTGGATATGAGATTGCTTCAAAGGGAGGAGGGTGTCCAGAAGCTGTGACAAAACCAATGGCTTTAGCAAGCATGTGGAGGCCAGACTCCTGCAATGTATTCGCATCTACCTCATCTTCATCACCTGCTGTGACTGAAACTCCTGGAGTGTATGATACATCTGACAGAGTCAAAGAAGAGGAAGAATGGTCCAATCTGGTCTTGTTGTCATTGCCTGATTGACCCTCTACAGCATCCTGTAAATGAGCAACCCATCCAGTAAAAGTATGATGCATAACAACATTGTTGTAAGGCACAGGCATCACAATTGGCATTGATGACAGCATCAGGTACAGTGGAAAGGACTGCAGGAGGCAATGGAGTGGGCAGGAATGGGCTGGGCAGATGGAAGTGAGAGGTAATGCCAGTATTAAACATGTCTGAGGCGAGAGGAGAAAGTGTTGTGGGTATATCTGGGGATGGCTGGACCTCCTGAGTGCTTTCTTGAATGTTAGACACAACTGACTGGCAGTATGAAGTATCAAAGATGGACAGCAAAGCCTCAGAGTCTGGAGTCACAGTATCTTTGGAAAACAGGAGGGAAGTGTGATGGGAAGCTTCATTGGGCTCTTCCTGTGAAACAATGATGGGTTCTGGCAACGAAGGAGAAGGAGTTTGAGGTGGAGCAGTGATGCCATTAGTTAATACAGGTGAAGCAGGTGGATCTAAGTCAGATGGCAGTTCCTGAGGCAGTGTTTCACTGTGCTGAGTTGGAGACAGCTCTGGGATGAAATGGGGATAGAACCGGACATAAGCAGACCCTTCAACCTCATGATAATGGTCAACAGGGGCAGGAACCTGTCGGATCAAGTGAGTATGGAGCATCAGGAAGTCCTGGAAGTAGCTGCCTGACTCATCAGTACCTCTTTCTCCAGCAAGAGCATGGTTTGAGTCAAGATAAAGGGGTGACAAGTTGGGAGTGCAACAGGAGAGACTGGTGAGCAGGGCAACAAGTGACTGGTGCTCTTCAAACCTGATCCTCTGGCAAATCCTGGCAATGACATGGTAATG